AGTAAAAAAGAAACAATACAAAGTATGAAGAAATTCGGGATGTTTGAGAAAGCATTTGAGAAAACACTTAAAAGGAACTACCTTTCATATGTGGTCCCTATCTTCCAATATTATGTTATCTTGATTTTACATCAATATTAGGCTAGCATCTTAGAATGAGTTCAGCATACTGTCTTTTCCTTTCCTGGGTACCAGAATAACACGTGTACATATGTTATTTATATTTAACATGAAAAACAAAAGGAACGAGTGACTCACCTTTACTGCATTGCCACCACCTTTGGGACCCTGAGTCTTCTTGTCAGAACTGTCACTCCCAGAGGATGCTCCCCCTTTAGAGAAGAGATCACAGGTACTCGTTTAAAATGCGTCTTGATACTTACACAAAGGGCCAACACAATGGGAGCTGATCCTTCTGTCACAGCACCACGCTTCAAAAGAGCCCTCTGCCAGACACCTTAATACATGAGGCTAAATTCATCTGTGGCTCATCTCTCTTAAAACAAGAAATGTGTGCCTTACAGACACCCTTTGTGGAAAAGGGATAGATGAATGAGTGTGCCGATGGATGAACAAGAGCGCCAAGAGCCTGGTCCAGATTCTCTGGACCCAATTTGAAATCCTGCCTTCTAAGAGCAAACCCCTGAGCTCTTGTAAGATGTCTAATAAGCACTGCGACTCTGTCTTTGAGTACTCACATTCCAGTTAAGTCAAATCTCTGAGAATGTATTTTAAATAAAGATCAACTTTCCCACCACCTGTATTTGGCTAAAGAATACATTCATGTCCAAATACCTGGAGGCTCTGACATTGCCCCTTGATGCCTTCCTAAGAAACACTGTTGACATGCAGATTAACAACTACTGGTGGCAGCTTACATTTTAGCATGACGTCATCTTACCACTATGTCAACTTCTGTGTTCACGGCAGCGTACTTACTGTTAGGGCCTGATGTTCGTAAGAACTATTGCTGGATTAAGTGTTCAGTTCAATAAAGATTTCCTAAATAACTAGTAAGTTCCAGACACTGGGGATACAAAGATGAAGAAGCCGTGGTACCCTCCTTCACGGAGCTCATAGTCTACTGGGGAAGACAGACATGTAAATAGATCATTTCAGGAGAATGACCTACGATCTACGGACAGAAGGCTGTGGAAGCACAGAGGGCCATTTTAGCCACTCAGGGAAGGTTTCCTGGATGAGCAGAAGCTGACCAAATGAAGAAAGGACAAGGATGAGGAGACACTGCAGGGTGGTGGAACAATGTGTTATGTGTCGGAAACTACGGATGAAGCCAAATCTGAGGTGGGAGTGTTGTGAGGTAAGCCCAGGGGAGGGGGCCGACAGTTAGGGCATGAGGGCCTAGGAATCCCGCTGAGGAACCTGGAATTTATCCTAGAAAAGGGAGCCACCGTAATGTTTTAATCAAGAGACTCCATGTTACTTGTCTGAGTATCTCCAATGCCTGGCACAGTATCTAGCACACAACAGTTGTTCAGTAAATGTCCAACTCAACTGAAAACCCAAAACACTGATGACCAAATGCCTAAGAAAATATTACTGCCCAAGGAGTTTTATTACACCAAACTCTTAAGTGGGTTTGCTGTACGTTCACTCTCGAAGGACAATGCCTTCCAGTCATCTCATCCTCTCCCCTGCCAGATGCCGCCATCTGCCTGCTACCTCACTCCCTTTGATTGAGGACTCTGGCGGCAGTTTCAGGATTCCTTTCCACCCCCACTCTCGCTGTCATCTCGGACAACGTCACCACCTATGCTGAGGAACCATCCAACAACCTAACTTCACACTTCCGGACCTCCCTCCTGAACGTCCATGCCTTCTACACCAGGCCACCTGCTCCCGAGGGCACACGATGGAACCATGCCACCGAGAACGAACAGTTCAGTGCCGGACTACAACTTCATGTTCTTCCCGCCTTCTCATGTCTCACTCCCACAACACTGGCTCTTTGGCTTCACGGAAACCACTCCCCACTTCGGTACCTTTATCCTGCTATGTTCTCCTAGACTATGATCCCGGCCCCCACGCTTGATCATTTGTGTTCCCACTGGCACCCTTAATTACCTTGTTTTGCCATTCTATTATTGGCCAACACACCCTCAACCTTGGCTCAAGGCTCCACCCAGCTCTTTTCAGGCCTATATTGTGCCAGTTGCAAGTTACCAGGTAAATCATGACCGTGTAGATTGTGTCCTCTACAGATCCACGGACTTCCAACCTTAGGCCCTTAGCCTTGAGGGCCGATCCTTTTATTAGTGTTTTCTTCCCTTTCCCATCACTCCCAATGGCCACTCCAAACCTTTACCACTCTCAAGACCCCCACTCAGTCCCTGCCCCTCGGTCTTAAAAATTACCCATGCCTTCTACTTTACTAAGAAATTGAGGCCATTAATCATGATATCATACGAACCCCACCCCCCACTCCGGCCCCGATTTTTACAATCACACCCATCCTCGTCTCTTTCCCTATGACCTTAAGCATAACGTATCCCTTCTCCCATTCAAAGGTCAACTTATCCACCTGTCCTGGACCCCATTTTCTCAAATCTCACTCCTCTGGACCCTTACCTCCCTAACTCTACTGGATCCTTCACGTCAGCCTCACTCTCAACTTTTCCCCATTCTGAAGAAACAAACAGAACGTTCTCTTCATCCTCTGTCCTCTCCTATCTACCATCTAATTTCCATGCTTTTTTCAATTAAGGCTTTCCAGAGAATTCCGCCCCGATTGTCTCCAACTTCTCATTCTCACTTCCCGGTCAATCCTCTAGTCACCGGCCACCCGCTGCCCCCGTCCCGGACCCCGGGGGTCGCCGGTCTGCTCCCTCCCCTCGCTCCTCACCCGACCCCATTCTCTCTGGTTGCTCTGGCCGCTCTACCTTTCCCCCCTTTCCCGGAGCCACTTTTTCCCTTGGGCGGCATCTTCCGAACCTGCGGCAGACCCCTGAACGGCTTCGTTTGCCGCACAAAGCCCCGTTAGGCCCCACGGGCATGTCCAGAACACATGCCTGAAAACGGCATCGAAACGGACCGTTTTCGCTCCGGCCCTGGAAGCAGGCATATTCTGGGGCAGACCCGGTCCTTGGGCCCTCAGACCAATGGAGCCGAAGATGGCTGACCAATAAGAAGTTTGGGTCTGTTCGGGGGCGGAGCCAAGGGTGGAGCAGGGGCGGGAAACCCCGCCTTTGCGGGTTTTTTTGTTTCTTCTGTCGCACGCCCTTATTTGCGCCAGCTCCCGTGCTCCCCCACTTCCCGGCCCGGCTCCTCCACGCGTGCGTAGTGGATGGCGCGGCCCTTTGCAGTCCCTTGGCGCCGGCTCTAGCCAATCCCGCGGGGCCTCCAGACAAAGGGAAGGGAGGAAGAGCCGCGGTGGCAGCGCCTTCCTCCTGCTGCCTCCTACGCACAGGCCTTGCCCTCCCTTGCGGTTTTTCATTTTAAAAAATTTTATTCTGCGTTTGTAGCTGATTGGATTTAAAAGGTAGTTTTATTACAAAAGGCTATCACCCCTCTGCCTCTTGCAGAACTCTGTCATGGAGAAAAATTGGAAGCAGGTTTAAATGTCCCTCCGTAGGGTATTGCTTAAATAAATAATGTCTCAACCACACAAAAGGATATGCGCCATTTAAAATAATGAGTGGAAGGCTGTTTGTAGAGACACAGGATATGGCCTTCGGGAAGGTTGCAGACCAAGCTATAGAATATGGTACATTTTTTAGAAAAAGGGTGCATGTAAAAGACAGGAAGGCTGCCTAGCAAAGTGGTGTTAGTACAGGTTGTTGTGTATGTTTCTGTGTGTCTTCCCAAATTTCTATAATGGTGCAGCATAAAACAGTACTTAAAAGCATGGATTCTGGAGCCAGACTGCCTCACCTCCAATCCCTGCTCCACCATCTGGCTACTAGCTCTGTGACCTTGAGGAAATTACCTCATCCCTCTTTGGCTCAGTTTCATCATCTGTAAAATGGAGCCGATGATAAGAGTACCTACTTACAGGGTGTTAAGAGAATTAAACAAGCTCAAATTTGTAAAGCACATAAACCAATGACTAACTCATAGAATGTTAGCGGAAGATGAACGAGTTTTGAATTTGCGTCCGCACACTTTCTTCCCTTACCTGCAACCCCACTCCTCCCAATTTGTATATAAGGTCGGGGCTTTTTCTTCGCTCCATAAGATGGCTATCCCCTGCCATTGTAAGCTACCCTGCTGGTAGTTGGCCACTACCAGCCAGAATGTACAGGGCTTCCAGGTCAGAGTTTAGTTTTTGGATACAGCCTTGCTGGACTTGGGATGCTTTGTGCCCAGACCAAAGGATCAGGCATTTTTGAGACTGTGCCCACCCCCAACTCGTCTGTAACAAGCAGCCCCCTCGTGTTGTACTGCTGTGGCATTTGGACACAACACATCCCAGGTACTCCTTGTTTTGAATTGGGAGTGATCAACTGTGGGAAACGCATCCAGTGCTGAGGGGATCACTGGTCCCCCGCTTCTGAGGTGGAGCCTGCCTGTGTACTGACTTTCCAAGTCCAGCTGAGAGGTGGGGGTTGGGGTTCGACAGTGACAGTGTGGCCTCACGTTCATCGGCTTATCCACAGCCAGGAGGCCCAGGAGGCACCTTTACTTCTGATTTCTCATAGGAACAGCCTTTCCTGTGACCACCGGCTATGGTATGAAGAGGGGGAATGAAACAGAGTTCAGCTCCCAGTGAAGAGCCAGCATTAAATGGCAGATGCATCTGACAAATGCTTAGTGCCTGGAACATTGTGAGAGCTCTATGTGTTCCAGCAGATAACAGCAACAACAATAAGCAAGCCTGTGTAAGTGGCTGAACTTCCCCAAAGCAGTACCTAGAGGCCAATAGCTCAAAGGAGAAGAGGATGGGCAGAGGTCTGCTGGGGGCGGGGGGAGTGGGTTTCAAGGTCAACGCACTATAAGACAGTCAGATTCAAAATCATGTACAATCTCAACTATGCAGTATGCATCACAAAAAGATGGGGAAGGAAATATGATAAAATCTTAAGTGTTCCGGGTGCCCAGCTGGCTCAGTCAGTGGAGCACGCGACTACTGATCTCAGGCCTGTGGGTTCGAGCCCCAAGTTGGGTGTAGAGATTACTTAAAAAAATTAAGTCTTTAGAGGGAGACAAACCATAAGAGACTCTTAATCTTAGGAAACAAACTGAGGGTTGCTGGAGGGGAAGGGAGTGGGGGAATGGGGTAACTGGGTGATGGACATTGGGGAGTGTATGTGTTGTAATGAGCCCTGGGTATTATATAAGACTGATGAATCACAAACCTGTACCCCTGAAAAAAATAATACATTATATGTTAATGAATTGAATTTAAACTTAAAAATTATTTTAAAAAAATTCTTCAGGCGCCTGGGTGGTACAGTCAGTTAAGCATCCGACTCTTGGTTTCAGCTCAGGTCATGATCTCAGGGTGGTGGGATGGAGCCCCACATCAGGCTCCCCGCTCAGCATGGAGCCTGCTTGAGCTTCTCTGTCCCTATCCCTCTGCCCCTCCACCTCCCCCACTCTTGCGCACTCTCTCTCTCTAAAATAAACAAATCTTTTAAAAAATCTTTTTTTAAAGATTTTATTTATTTATTTGACAGAGAGAGAGAGAGCGAGAGCAGGAGTACAAGCAGGGGGAGTTGGAGACGGAGAAGCGGGCTTCCCGCTGAGCAGGGAGCCCGATGTGGGGCTCGATCCCAGGACCCTGAGATCATGACCTGAGCCGAAGGCAGACGCTTAACGACTGGGCCACCCAGGCACCCCTTAAAAAAAATTCTTAAGTGTTTATTCTGGAATGTGAGTTGGTGCCTACCTTCCATTTTTTTTTTCTGTTTATGTTATATTCTGTTTATATCAATTGGCATGTATTTCTATTTTGTTCAAGAGAAAAAAAGAGCAGTAAGCGTTATTTGTCAAACAAACACCAAAAAAAGCTAGCTTCTCTACAGGGTTAAGTCTGCACCAGGCTGTGGAGGCCCACTGTGGAGGAGTCTGGAGCAGAGTGACAAATGAACTTAAGAGCGGGCAGGGGGGCAGAGGGGAGAAAACTTCAGCCTTGAAACCATGGTAACAACTGCGGGAGTGTGCACAGTGAGGCAGAGCCTGGAATGGCTGCCAGTTGTATTTTCTATTAATTATCTCCTCAGAATGATTCTTCCACGTATTTCTTAAACAAGGAAAATTAGGAAGGGAAGCTGACAGCCCTCTGCCTAGGACCGAAGTTCACAAACCTTGACCAAGACTCCCTGTCCTGCCCTACCTGCTCCACAGCCAAGGGACTGTGGTTTCTTTTCCATTCGAGACCCCCACAGAGCTTACTCTGAAAGGGGGGCCTGAAGCAACAGAGCACAGAGATCTCGTCGATCCCATTCAGAGGTGGTCAATCCATGGGGAGCTCTGGGCCCCAGCTTCTGGGGACAAGGGTAGAAAAATGTCACCTTTGGAAACTGAAAGCAAGGAAAATCAGTACACGGTGGACGAGATCAGCCACCTGAAAAGTAGCCATCCATCGTGGCAAGTGGATGCAGGTATATTGCCAATGGGATGGATGTGTCTCCTGAGCACAGTCGGTGGCCAAAGACCTTTCTAATCCTCTTCATGCCATTGTTAGCATGTCTGGCATGAGATAATGAAGCTTTGAACAACTGGTTTTTAAAAAGGGGCTTCAGGGGCGCCTGGGTGGCTCAGTTGGTTGAGCGTCCGATTCTGGATGTCGGCTCAGCTCATGATCTCAGGGTTGTGAGATCGAGCCCGGAGACGGGCTCTGTGCTGGCCGTGGAGCCCACTTAGGATTCTCCCTCTCCCCCCTGCCCCTCCCCCCCCCGCTCACGCTCACGTTCTCTCTCTCTAAAAAAGTAAAAAATAAATAAAAATATAAAAGGGCTCCAGAGAAGAAGATCCCATCTGTGTTTGTCCAGCATCGTCTAAGCAAGAGCCGCACTTGCTGGAGAACATTAATATTCCAGTATTGGTGAGGTGGATTGTTTTTCTGAGGCAGTGTTCATTTGAGACAGTGGAAAACAACCAGTACTTAGTGGCATACATAGCGTGAGCCAGGTGCTTTGCCTTTATTATCTCTTTGAGTTTGCACAACAGTCTTTTGTTTTAAGGTTTCATTTTTAAGTAGTCTCTACCCGCAACGTGGCGCTCAAACTCACAACCCCGAGATCAAGAGTCGCACGCTCTACCGACTGAGCCAGCCGGGTGCCCCTGTTTTCACAACAGCCTTATTTGCCAAGAATCACCGTTGCCATGTGAGAGCTGAAGAAACAGGCTCAGAGGAGTTAAGAGATGTGTGCAAGGTTGCACATCTAGGCACTGTGGCAGGGTTGGGCTCTGAACTCAGATCTCTCTGACCTCCAAGCTGGTCACTCCTGCATGATGACACTGCCCCAGGCTTTGCCCTCCCCCACGTGAAGCCCAAGAACACCCGCTTCCCTGTGTTCTGAGTGCATGTTCAAGTCAGTTTCCCAGGCACCTGACGCCTTACAAGGGGGCACTCTGCCCAAGAGGTGCCAGGGCCAAGTTATGCCTCCGCCATACAGAAATCAATTCGCCTCTGGTTTATGCATCAGTGTGTCGGGTCTGAGTCGTCTGGAAGGTGATCACCTCTGCCTACTGGACCTCCCAAGCCCAGAAGCACAGAGGCAAGAAGAACATGGTGTGGGTGGGGGCCAGTGTGGGCAGAGTGTTGTAGCCAAGGCAGAGGGAGGGGGACAGTGGGGAAGAGGTCTTCTGTGTCCCCCCGCTCAGGAACATGTCTCCGTGTCTAAAGGAGTCTGCCTTCTAAACAGCTCATCTACCTACCCCTCATCGTTGTGCAGTGAACAATGAACACTCTACGGAGATTCACCAAGCATCTCTTGCCCTCGTCCCCCTGCCTCAGCATTTTGTTCATTCTCTGAACCATTGGAACAGCCTCCACGTGTGGTCTCTCAGCCGTCAGCCTCACTCCCTCCGAGCTATGCTCCCCAGTGTCTGGCAGAGAGCCTCAGATACACAGATCTGACCTTCATTCCCTCA